AAAAAAAAAAGTTGGCAACATTATTTATAAATTTAAATAAAACATAACTAAAAGAAATTTAACTAGAATTATGAACTTCCGATCCCGTGATAGCAAGACAATTCGAGCGGCGGCATAAGCATCGATCAACTTAGCTATCGAAACTTCGGTCCTCGGCAATCTTAAAGTCACTTATGTTCATTAATAACCTACGGAGCTTGTCCTACAGTTTATAACAATTATGAGGAAAAAAAAAAAAATTAGGGATTATAACTAAACTGCCATTCTTAAAAAAACAGATGAAAATTTTCTTCAAAATAATACTGAATTCCAAAATAAGTATTAAAAGTAGGGGAAAAAAACGGGAGCACAAGTCAGTTCAATATATATAGGATATACTCGGTTGCAGACATAAGAGAAAAACTCGTGTCGTCGCTTGCTTTGGCTGTGCGCTCAGATATATAGCTATAGTCAACATTTCCACTGCTCTCCTCGTAGGCACACATTCGGTATACCCCATCTACGTTTCTCCAAAATTTTCGCCTATGTGATCATTTCCACGCGAATCTACTTCTTTCCTCGTAGGCGCACGCTGTTCGATACGAGTAGTAAAATGTGCACCCGNAAAAACTCGTGTTTTCGCTTGCTTTGGCTGCGCGCTCTCAGCTTTATAGCTATAGTCATCATTTCCACTCCTCTCCTCGTAGGCACACATTTGGTGTACCCCTTCCACGTCTCTTCAAAATGTGCGCCTATATAATCGTTTCCACGCGAATCCACTCCTCTTTTCGTAGGCGCACGCTGTTTGATACGTGTAGTAAGATGTGCGCCCGGTTCAACGGCTGGCCGCGGCGGGGCGCTCCGATCAGTGCCAAAAAGTCGTCTCGCATCGTAGCATTGGCGTTAGCAATCTCTCTACTCTTCTCTGGTTAAGAGTTCGTTTTTTGGACCATTTGGTTGAAAACAAAAAAAATACAATACAATACACAATACTAAGTATGAGTTAAAGTCTTACCTGTAAATTTAGTAAGTTTACAATTTCTGCAGCCAATTAATTCAAGGAATTTTACAAATACATTTTAGATGTAATGAAAGAGTTTGTTAGTAACAATAATAATGTCAGGATGCACTTTTTGGATTTGACAGTCAAGAGGCAAGTAGTTCTATTCATCTATTTATACATACACACACACATCCATGTACATACTTATAATGTACATACATGTGTTCTTACATTGAGGCTGACTACATCACAAGCAGCATAATAGGATGCAACTCTTATTTCCAGTAGAGGCGTTGTTATCCAATTGAATACGATTATGATATATACGGTTTTGTGAGCGAGTGTGCACACAAAAGATCACCTTAAAGCTAATATTTACTATGATTATGATAAGTGGCACCCTCAAAAAAGGTCATGTTCGTCATTTGAGAGGTCATTTGGCATATAGCTAAGTCTCTACGGCAATGACTTACGAGACTGAACGGATAACATTCAAAGGTAATCAATAGATTCATTTATCCTCCAAAAACGTACATATACTCTACTACAAAAGTTTCAATCGATTTTTTTATTTCCCTTAATTACATATCAAATACGTATATATAGAAGCACGACGTACTTATGTAAGATCCACTTGCTTTATAAGCTTGTATACATTCTTATTAATATCTTGGATGAATGTGACTTATGAAATTTGCTTAATTTTATAGTAGGGTTCGTCTGCATTCACACAGGGTGTAACAAGGGTATCTTAAAGTAAAAAGATGTAAATCTGTACATGTAAAAAATATACAAACAAATAAAGAGTAAATACCATTCACAGTCATAAGAAATCTGTTGAAAGACTTATGAAATAAACATGCCTGTTACAGTGAGGAGGCTTAATATTTATTTGTTTCGTTGAACGTACTTGCTTTTAAAGAGCAAATAAAAATAGCTGTATCCTATCAAAACAGAAAGGAGATGCTAAATTAAAAGTTTTACTATGATGCGTTTTAAATGAAGGAAAAATTTTGCTCTGTTTGATTGACGGCATACGTTCAATAATAAATAAAAATAACATAACTCAAATACTATTAACGTAAAACTTTAATCGTAAGTACTTACCTGGTTTACATTATTGTGGTGCGTTTTGTATTCTGCTACCAAATATATGAATAACTGCTTTACATTCCAATTAAACAAAGAGGTTAAATGTGTTTGTGTTAAGAAAATTATGTTTATTGATTAATCATGATGCACGTGATGTTTTACACTCTTATCATCTTATAACTAGAATGATACATATTACAAAAATAATATAGAATAATATTGTTTAAAATACGTAGACGGTATCACATAAAGTTTTTGATAGAGATAATGCTACACATTTTTTTTTTTTTTTAGTTGTAAGCAAAACTTCAATTTGAAATTTTTGTTTTACAGTCAGTCAGCATATTATAAAATGGGATCATTTAAATATTTTTAGACTGCATGTTGTGTACTACATGATTTTAATTTCTTCAATTTTTTTGAAACTTAAAAATAAATTTTTTATATATATTGTATTTAAATTGTTAGACGTATAAAAATCAGTAGCAAAAGAAGAAGGAATAGTAAAACCTGGTAAGTGAATAGCATTAGTCGGCAACTTACACTTATTAAAAGTAAAAACTGATTATTCAGTAACACCTTTCTCGGTCCATACCTTATTGTACACATCCACTTTATCACTTGCACTTTCATAGTGCTTATCGATACCTCTCATGGAATTCTCTTATTCAAGACAACATCAACAAATTAAAATAGTTTTGATTTTTGTTAGGAGGCGTCGATGTACTGTATGATGTGGCATTGCGTTTATGATTTAGCAGAGTATAATGATAACACTTCTCTTATATCTACAAATATATGTCTTAACACACTTTACTAGAAATGGAGAAAGCTAGAGATCTGTTGATAACATAAAATCATAATTAGAAAAAGAGCAGAATAATAAATAATTTCAAAAAATTTAAGGTATTATTGTATTGAAAAAAATTAAATATCATTTTTAGTGATTTATATGTTTACGCTTCAATACATTCCGTGTATTAGCGAAAGTTAATATTTGAAAGACAGATTTACTTTAACTTATTTGCGGTGATGAATAAATTTACAGCTATTTTTACACACAATAATAAAAAGAGACACAAAGCTGGTACTTTAAGAAATCATTCGAGCAAAAGCAAAAAATTTTCAACGCAGGATTGTTGAAGTTTTATTTCAGACTATCAGCAACTCAATACTCTAATATAAGCATGCATTGAAACTTTTCTGCCTCAAGTTATTGTATTGTGCATTATGATAAAAATCGAAGAAAGTAACAGCCACTAAAAAACTACTTGAGTCCATGGATTAAAAAGTATATGTCAAATATTTTTGAATTCACCAAGTACGAAAAGGGTCTTTGTCTCGAGTCAACTGTATTAGAGGGTAGGGAATGGGAATGACTGATGTAAAGAACACTTAGACAATACACAGTATGGTTATACCTACCGATAACACCTACTGCTGCAATGTTTCTAGTAACAGTTGCAGAAGACAGCAACTATCTATTTCTGGAGCACTGGAACGCAAATAACCATATTGATGTGTACTTTATGACAACGTAGATACTTGTTAAGGCTCTCTCTTACATAAATATCAACACTTGGCAACTCTAGCCCTTGTCTCGGTGCGTTGGCGGACTATACGCCACATAATTTACTTTTTACTATTAGTGGTCATATCACTTTAGATAGTTTTCGTTTGCCGTACCACCACCAAGTACACTGGTATATCTAACGTGTCCAGACACATTGTAAATCCACCACATTAAAAACTAGAAAAGATTTGCACTTTATACCGTTCAACAAAATATAAAAATTAAACTATTTATGACTACATAGAGACATACCTAGAATTTGATTTTCTAGCTTAAATTTTACTTGTAATGTTAAATAGATGTCTAATTATCATCCAATTAAAAACATTAAAAAATGCACAACCAATGCACTCATTTATTTTTTATTATTTGAATCAATTAAACCAGAAGATGTGTAACAAATATGTTTCCACAATTTCGAAAGACTACTTAATTTTGTCATCTACAACAGTTATTTCTCGAGATTTTATTATATTAATATCCATGAGATTTAAGTTTGTCACTTGGTACTCATTTTGATATCAGAAATGTTTAAAACCGCGCTGTTTGTCGGGTTCCTGTAGTTGACTCTATGCTTCAATTTTATCACAGTACGTCTAATACCGTTGCAATGTGTTGAAAATAATGAAATGTAGTGTTGACAGTATAGTATTGAAAATATTAAGAAGTAAGCTTATTGTCTACTATACATTGTGACCTTAAGAATAAAAGAGAGACTGCTTACAACAAAAGCCAGGGTTTGACTAACTGTATGACTTGGTGGTGCGCGTACTATTCATGGTTATTATTTACATGTGTATGTGCACTTAGATTAGACTATACCAATTTACTTACATGAAATAAACTCTTGATTTTGAAAAAAAGCCGTATTGTTTTGTTTGTACGAGTTTGTTACGATGGGAAAGATTGTTCGAGATTGATAAAAATAGGGAAGATACTAAGATATCTTGTAATCAAATAAACATCGTAAGTTTAATTAAAATTAAATTTTTATTTTTACCCACTAGATCTTACACACGCATACATATAACAGTATATCGGCACCTTTTACTGTATTTGATGCTGTGAAATATAGTGCAATCTTGCAAAGATTAAACGATGGGCCAAAAAAAATGCTTTGAGACAGCTCCAAAAAGCAGTAGCTGTAAAAGTCTAACGATAAAGGAGACGCCAATGCTAGGCATACCTTCAAAGAGGCCAAAGATGAGACAGTCACAGTCGACACAAGCTATCAAAGAGACTGAGCCGACTAAAAAGGTGTCAGATGGAGTGAGAAAAAAAAATTGTAAAAGAACGAAAGGAAAGAAGCAACTTATAGTCCATATACAGTGTATATTGAGATCATTAAATTGATAGGATGGTTTTGATTCATTTTTCATTAAGCGCTTAATCACCAGATTGTAAAAGAGTGGTGATGATAGTTACATTATCATTTATGTGTACTATGACACCTTTCACGAAGTTGTAACGTTAGCTACCATAAGATATATTGAGTATTGACAAGCATCTAAATTTTCAATAGTTCCTATCTTTTCATCTCTACATGGGGCATTAGAAGGGCTGGATATAATTCTTAGTTTTATTTCATGCATTAAATAGAATGTTATGGTCTAGGTAAGTACCGTGAGCCCACGACTCCTTTATAGTTAACAACGTGATTTTCTCCTCGGTAATTAGTCGTAAATAATAACGGGAACGTCAAATACTAAATTTTTAGATTTTTATACTAAATAGATCGATTTCGTAATATTATTCATGATTAAATAAGGTATTTGTTCCGTAAGTCTCGAAATTTCGAGAGCCAACACGTATTTGTGTTCACATAAAGTACTTTTACTGGGGTACAAGAAACTTGTACCTGCTATAGGGTAGCGTTGAATTGGGCCCAGGGTGCCAGTTCTCTTGAGCAGGCTTGGTAGCTGATGGTATGCATAGAATAGCTACTTTAGATGGGCTTTTGTTAGACTCTTTTAGATTCTGTAAACACAGCTCGGTCCTATTATAATTAGGGCAAGCTTAATATTAGGGTTATCTACCCTATTTCAAGCAAAAACCGATTCATAGTTTTTTGGTGTGTTTTATTTTATATAGTTTATATATTACATATACATCTGTTAATGTACATAACCATCAATCAATTTGCATTTTTATGATTAATATTGTTTTATTGATACACCATAAAACTAACAATTGTAACTTGTATCATCGTTAATCTGAATTTTTAGGTCAGCTGAAATACCTGGTACTGTTATATTGTATTACTTAATGTACAAATTACAACAAAAAGCTTCACGATGAAAATCTGGGCAATCATTATCCCTGTTTGCCATTTCTACTATTGGCCAGGTGCATGTCATGCAGCGCCACTCTTGGTGTCAAAATCATGCAACCGCGGGTACCCACATTATACGTCAACAGCATACACCGATGCACAGTTTTAGTAATAATCAATTAATTAGCAAAAAATTAGTATATTTATTCATCTGATAATGGATGTTATCATAAAAATAGGCTTTAGGAATATCACACATTGGATTTGTTTTAACTTTGAAGCCTTAAAAAAAGGTAAACACTTGGTTGAAAACAGTCATGTGTGCGATGTTACAGAATTTCAAAGTGATGGAGTTAGCAATTTGACAAGTGCCGTCGTAATAAGGCAGACCTCGGTAACTTCAGCTCCGTACAAAGTTAACCTGCATGTACATTTTATTCAGATTATTTTGAAAATTCTCTAAGTTGCAATGCACATGAAAAGTACCTTTATTTACAGTTAGATAATCACCGAAATTTGTGTAATTTTACTCCATCTGTCTTTGCGCTACTGTTACACTGAATAACACAGCACTTTCTTACACCCATATTTCATAAACGTTTAAATAATAGGAATCACAATAATCATGTCTGATTTCACGTATTTATCTTTCTTTTTGCCGTATGCTTCTGAGAGTATGCTCTGGATCGAAAACTAACGAGGCTTCGTTAATATATTGTTACATTCAAACATTTTACAACCGTTCTTGGCACCACATAGTTCATTTTTTTTACATTTGTGCAACTGCAATTTCATAATATTGATACTATTTATGCATACTTGATAATAATATCTACGTGAATTTGACGAAATACTGTTATTCTTCCATAATTAAGCAAAACTGACAGTAATTTGGTACCCCAGGTTTCCTGTTTTTGCCACTACGCACGCTGGCGTCGACTTATCTATCCTCTCCCATCACTTGCACCTGGCCAATAAACATCGATTAGTAAGCAGAAAGTTGACCGTGTGTTACTCCGTGACTTAAGACCCCTCTCATTTTCGTTACGGAAGAATATAAAAATACCTTACGAAGAGGAAAAATTGCTCTTTTTTTGACTGACACGTGCCCTCCGAAGTTGCAGCCAACTCTTGACTTTCACGTTCTACGAGTACATTATCCGCGGAGGTCAATAAAAAGTCTATTGTGTTAGCTCTGGAAACTCGGGTGTAATTCACGGACATTAGAAGTCTTGGACTTCGGTAGAGTGTGAGGAAAAGCAAAAGACCCACTGAAAGTCGTCATGACGACATAAACTCATCAGAAGCAGTAACATTTTACTCACTCGGCCACGAATCAACATTTGTATACTTTAACGACCGTCTAGAAAAACTGCACGAAGTATTAAGAATGCTAAAGCAGCATTAGAATTAGTGATAGTAGTAACTTGGTTAATAATTATACATGTGAATAATAGCAAACACTATAATAATAGAACGAGTAAAAGCAAGACTAAAAAACACTATTGTAAACTTTGTGACGATAAAACTTTTTGCTGAAAGAAATATTTTTATTTAATGAAAAAAATGTAATACTTCATTTTTACTATTAAGATTAAACTTCATTAATAACGCAAAAGATTACTTGTACTACACGTATACTAAAAAAAGAAAATAATAAAATAGGCTCTCGGAATATGTTTTGAAAACTTACAAACAGCATTTTTTATTTATATAACTGAATACCGTACTTACAAAAGCATGGTCATTAAAAATCGGCATCCCTTGTGAGGATCAAACTTACAGAGTATATAATATAGTTGCGATATGGTTTGTATCAAATGATCTATAAATAATATAGATATGTGAAAAAAACATTTTTAACGTACATTTTTACTGTGAAATTATTGTTAAGTGGCAAAAGTAGCAACAAAATTCATCGTTGGGCCACGGATGTCAGTATTTATATATAGACGATGTATCAATTATTCAAAAGACTGTATATAAATGCAACGTAAGCTGTGCACGATTTTTCAGACAACAGAAAAAAAACATTCAAAAATTTTTCTGAATGAGCGCTCTAATTATTATTTAATTAGTGTAATGAACACACGAATGATGAGTATTATTACAATGATAACGTGATACATTGTAATAATTAAAAGGGAATAGTATGAAAAAGGATATCAGTCTGTATATCAAATGTCACAAAGCCTAGGTCATTTCTTTCTCTGGATGCACTGTAATCAGGTACGTTTTTTCTGAAACATAAGTTAATAACATTACTTACATTTAATATAATTTTTTTCATCAAAAAATAAATATTGTAATACATATATTTCTTATCTTAAAGTAAACAAATTTTATAGTTTGTTGACATCGATTTGGTAACCGAACACTTCCGAGACTCAAAATAAAAGATTTTTTTTTTTCTATTTATTTAACTTAAATTAGATAAAAGCTTCTTACATAAAATTATTACCTGTTGTGAGCTTATTTATGTAATGTCTTTATTCATGTAGTAGTTATAGGTCATAACTTAAAGACAGTAAATCTACTAAAATGACTTATAGATTAGTTTAAAAATAGGAAGCACAGAAAGAAAGTCAACTGAGTAGACATATAGCTAAAATTTGCAGACAGTCGTAGAAAAAAATCTGATCGAAAGAGTATAAAACTAGGAAAATGTAGTACAGGAGAAAGGAAGGTAAATAAAAACTGATTAAGAGATACTGTAAACGAGTTAAACATAGGTAATAGTAGCAAAATCCAACGAAAAAATAAGTGTTTAAAAATAAAAAAAATAGTAATTAATTAACCATCGAAGTGTGTCAAGATGGCCGTAAAAACAGGCCAGTCGATGTAGGGGCCTAGAGAATCTTTCTGATTGGGCTAACAGGATAAAATCGAATATGCCAGTAGGATCATAAGGCTGCAACGAAAATTAGCAGTTTTCTGCTTTGTTCCAGGTGATGATGGAAACTAACAAAACTGTAAATAGCGTAATAGGCTAGCATTAGGAGCAAGATACTGAAATAAGTCCACTTAGAGCGGATTCTCATCAGCTTAGAAAGCTGCGTATAAGGTAAGGTCGCGATTTGTGTTAAAAGTCTCAAGCATTTTGGTGAGTTCATCAATCCAAAATGATAACGTTTTTATTATGATTTTAAAGGTTATCAATCTGTTGCGTCTGAAAGATAAGATCCAAAATGTTTTGGAATATCGAGATGAAAAAAGCAAATTGGAAGGAGCCATGAATCTAGTGTATCTGAGGCTGATAGATAGGTAGGGTAAGTTTGTTGTGCAGTTTAAGTCACTTTATATCCGAGATTATATACTAGAGGCTACGCAGAGTTATGGAAATAGACCAGTCAATCTACAAAAAAGATGACAAAATTGTAATCAGAAAACAAAAAATACGTTGATACAAAAGAGAACAATCCAAGAAACATGCGCTTTTTAATGGCGAGTCGATGGGTAAGTTAACCTAAAAAATGCACAAGAGTCGAAAAAAATAAGCAATATGTCTTTGAATACGTTTGGTATCCCGATATTGAGATCCATACACGTAAACAGGACGGCTCAGCAATGGTTATTTGATAAGACTCAGATTTTTCAAAAACGTCTGACTGCCTCTAAAGGTTTGCAAGACTAAAGTCGTTTGATAACAAAAAATTTATTGGTATCATCTATGAAAGTGCCAATTTTATGTCGGCGCATAACCAGCAGCTTCATAACTTTATTGAGAACCATGTCTTTGATGTTCTGTGTTTTTGAGACCTGGCTCACCCAAGACTACGATACATTGACTTACCACTTGCCTGGATCTAATTTTGTTAGAAATAATAGAGACTGCTCAAAAACGCGTTGAAGAAGATATATGCAGAGAAAAGTACACAATATTATAAGCATAAAGACTTGATTGTTAACATTTTAGTACATTCTTAACACGGTATCTAAATGAAACAGAATTTTTATCGACGGAGATAAAGAATTACCCAATAAAAAGAGTGATATACAAACTCAATTCTCAGAAGTAATAAACTAGGTTGTAGTTAGTATCACAATATTTTTGTAGCAGAAAATCTATAATAAAATCTTCTGGCTCTTAAAAACCATGCTAATAATATGCACAAAATAAGTACATAATATTAAATGGACCTGGTTTAGTTTGAGGCTATACGCCATAAGACCCATAAGTGGTTAGATGTCCTCTTGGTTAATTTAGGTGGTAAAGTAAAACTCAAGAGTCAGTCAACAGTTCCATTTAAAGGTGCACACAATAATATCTACATTAATTACTGTAATAGTAAATTCAGTTAGAGCATGTTATAATATTTTCTACACTTTTCTGAATATGGTATTAGCATGACAATAAAACATTGGGTTAAATGTTAAATACACATTCTCCCGATTTTTAATATTTTTATTATATTCTGTTGGATTATGACAAGGGAGCAAGAAAATAAGCGATTCTCTAATATCTAAGTATCTAGAAGTAATAATTACTATTTATCTACTCAATATTTCAGTTAACAGTCTCTCTCTCTCACACACACACAATCACATACACACACAAATATTTCTTTATAAATGGTAACTTATGCGGACATTATTATGTAAAAAAAAGTTATTATGAGGACAAAATCGTACTTATGCGGACTGTACTCGTAACTTTCCAATGTTATTAGTATGTATTCTAAAAGCACGTTAAGTCTTCATAAGTCACCTTATATGAAGATATATATAAAAAATATTAATGCAATGCTTATTTTGAAAAAATAAGACTTATTACACAACAATGGAGGGAGGCCGAGCCCCATAAGTGTAGATGTATCAGCCCCCACTTTGCCCCCCTGCACGCTCCGCACGCCAACCTTTTACTATTCTAACTTAAAAGGAGAGTCTTTAAATTTTATCTGTTAGTGGGGAGGTTGGTGCCCAGAATTTCGTGAGGAAGAAAGTTTTTAATCTACATCGTTAAGCATTAGTAATATATTAATGAGTAAATTTCCACACCTCCCAGAAGGTACTATTGTGGTACGTTGAGAATTTTTTTTAGAACTCTCCGTTATGTTTAGAGAACAAAACATCATTAAAGATTTTTTTTTTAAACTTGTATTAAATAAAGTAACTGGTTCGATATCTTTCAAAGACATTAGAACATATAAAGGAATAACTTACGAAACTTTTAAAGATACTGCAATTGCAATGAGTTTAATAGACAATAATGAAAAAATCGATGGTTTTTTGAAAAAAACAATTGCTGTTATGTTTCCATATCAATTAAGACAATTTTTCGCTTGGTTTTTAATTTCAGAAAACGTTCAAGGTGATAAAATATGAAATAAATACAAAGAATTTTTTACGAAGGGTTTGCCTAATAATAAAGGTAATTTAGCTCTTTTACATATTAA